AATTCCTAAAACTAAGCTCAAATTACAAGACCAGTCTGGTCTGTATCAGAACAGGATATAGGCTTTTGTCCTGTATTTAATTCTACTACAGCAATCTTTCATAAACCGTGGCCAACCTACCCTTCAAAACTATCAAGAAAAAATTCTTCAATGCTATAGTAAGACTTTTCCAATAATAATTTATGTAAGGTTTTGAAGACATTTTTTGATGAATTTTTGCTTATGATTTTTGATAGTTTGTTAAAAATTTTGATTGCCATGTAATTTGGACTATTTTCATACAGAGAAAGTCTATGGTGTGGATATTGAAATAAGTTTGAGTGACGTGTGAAATAGTTATGGTTAAATTTATACTTATCAAAGCTGTCCTGATTATTGTAGAGTAACTTGACAATTTCTAATATATATAAACCTGTTACTGTTAAAATTCCAAATTCTTTAAATAATGATCTACAGCTTTTTCTTTTGGAAACTTTTGCCATTGTCCTCACCACTGATTTCTGTGCATTGAGAAGTTTTTTCGTTTTGGAATTGGATCCCCAAAGAACAATACCATATCTGAGTCTAGATTCCATGTAGGCGTAATATACTAGTTTACCAATATCAGTAGATGTTGTGTCATTAACTACACTTAATGCAAAACGAAAAGAGTTGAGCTTTTTTGTTAAGAATTGTATATGGTCGTCCCATTTTAATTTTGAATCAACATGAATGCCTAAAACTTTATGAGTATCCGCTAAGTTTAATATATTATCAGATAAAAAGTCAGAATTTTTACAATTTTTTACTTTAAAATGCATTATACGTGTTTTTGAATTATTCATTAGTAAACAGTTTTTTGTGAACCAATCTTGCAGTTCTTCTATAGTCTGTTTAATGGAGATTTCCAATTGTTGAATATTTGAATTTTGAACTATAACGTTGGTGTCATCAGCATATAAGAAAATATCACCAGATATGTGAGAATCAATGTCATTGATAAATATCAGGAATAATAAAGGTCCCAGTATTGAACCCTGGGGAACTCCATGGATGACCTTTTCCCATCTTGATACAAATTTTCTCTTACTTTTTAAAATGACTGTCCGTTGTTTTCTATTATTTAAGTAGTTTGAGAGTAGTTCCATGACTTTACCTCCAATACCTACTTTCTTTAGTTTATTTGCTAAAATCTTGTGATTAACACAGTCGAACGCACTTGATAGGTCACAGAAAATTCCTGCAGTACTTTGTTTCCCTTCCAATGCTTCTGTGACCATGTTAACCAACCCAGTCAATGCAGATGTAGTAGATTGATTTTTCCTAAAACCGAATTGTGATTTTGAAAAAAGATTATTACTTTCTAAGAAATTGGTAATGCGTGAATTTATTGCTTTTTCAAATATTTTGGAAAAATTACTTAAAATAGAAATAGGTCTGTAATTTGTTGTATCTGTTTTAATTCCTTTCTTGAATATTGGTTTTACCTCAGATAATTTAAGCTTATCTGGGAACTGACCTGTACTGAAGCACTGATTGACTATTATACTAAGAACTGGGGCTATTAATGGTTCTGACATTTTTATAAGTTTTGTTGGGACCTCATCCCAGCCAACAGAGCTCGAATTGCTTAAACTACGTATTATTTCACAAACTTCTGTGGTCTGTGTTGGATGAAGGTCCAGTAAAAGTGTTTGGGATACAGTCTGATTATTTTCACAATCAGTCACAGGAGGTTTTGATATTCCTAAATTATCAACTGTATCAATAAATCCATTTTGGGACTAAAACTACATCCATATTTCATTAATATTAACAAAAGAAAAGAAAAATTAACCATCTTACTAAAATATTGTTTCCAAATTATTATTCAATCGACATCTTAACTTATTGCATTTTATAAATAGAAAGAAATCTTTTGATCCAGTCTGTATGAATCCCCACCCCTCAAGAATTTTTTTAACCACTTATTTGCCATTAAACATTGTATTCAATAACATCTGTACCTCATCATTTCTGTTATTAGTTAAGACAAAAATAAAATAACAACAACATATTTAGAGTTTTATTTCATGTCGTTGGGTCAATGATAACAACTGCCTTGTCATGTTAATCATAACCATGGAAACCTACCTATCGAACATTATTTATCACATTCTGCCCAAGAAAAGTAGAAAGGACACTGTGGAATGGGGGGGGGGGGGGGAAAGAGTGGTATAGTAAATTGGGTGAGGGGGGGTTGAGGGGGGAAAGTGGGTTGAGATAGTTCTAGGGTGGAAGGGTGTGGGTGTTTGCTGAGTAATATTAAAATCAGACCAAAAGCTTGATTTTTTTTTTATTCAGTAAAATAACCAATTTTCAATGCGCTCTAGCGGAGGTTATTTTTAATCGATTTTCAAGTGTGAATAGTGCATTTTGAAGGGAATTTTGTCAACTTCCATTTTGTACGGGGGTAAAAGTCGCTAGAATTCATAGTTTTTGACTTATAACATAAAAACTTAAAAATGTGCTAAAATTTTGCTATTTTTTGCGAATATCTCGGAACGCTCAAGAAATATTTGTTGGACGACTTCAGATTCGGATTCAGCACCCCAAAAAACATAAAGTTCAGACAAAATTCCTTGGACGCCAATTTTGTCCACGTATGGTTGATTTTGACAACGGATTGACTGGTCTAAAACGGCACACGGAAGATTTCTCAGGTGCCGTTTGACGTCACTTACTACTGACGTCACTTTAAGGGAACACCAATGCCGCAACGATACGATTGAGAGCCATCGGCCTCGGTGGTGTAGTGGTTAGCGTGGCGGGCTAATAATCCGAATGTTTCGGGTTCGAAACCCACCGGTAGCATAAACTTTTTGTCAGCAATTTTTTTCATGTCAGCAAGTTTGGTTGGTTTGGTTAGGTTATGACAGTTTAATTTTATAATTAAAAAATTATAAAACTAAATTTTAGGCATTTAAAAATTTTTTTTATGAACAGAAATATTTTTTGGATTAGTAAACCTTCATTCGATTTTTCCATTATCAGCACGTTTGGTTAGGTTATGACAGTTTAATTTAATAATAGAAAAATTATAAAATTGTTTCTTCAGACGCAGCAGTTAGTGACGTCGAAACGGCACCTGAGAAATCTTCCGTGTGCCCCACCGGAGTACATTTATTTACTTTTACTATTTGAGTTTGTGTCAACATTACCCCCAGGACGGATCGTGTTAGTATGGTTGTATCCAAAATTTGTGTATTTATCGTTTTTTTGTGTTGCTATGACGGAACGTGTTAGCATGATTGTAACTTAAATTTGTGCATTTATTGTTGTTTTGAGTAGTTATAATTTGTTTATTTGTTTTTTTTCTTTCAAATGCCTCCGACGCGACGACAACGAAAGATAACGACAGGAGGCGTAATCGTGATAACGACCGCAGCGACAGAACAATGGCGAGTTAATAGGCTTAACTCGTCACAGTCAGCACATGACCCTGGACAATCTCAACTATTATGTTTCAAGTAGGCCCTAACACTACCCCAAAACGACTAATCGTTCACAATTGGCCCTCTATCAATGACCTGTGTTGCCTTTACAGCGAGGCATTTTGAGAAGGGGAAAACCAGCTGGATTGCTTTAGGTTTATCAATAACAAAGATAAACATAGTCTGAGTTACACACCGGTAATCTTTGAGTTGACTCTTTTAAACTCATTGACTCATTATTGTAAATATGACTGTTATTCGTTTTGAAATAACTCCTGTAATACTTTGCAATTGCTCGAATTCGAGCAACATGTACACTAGTTATAATTATTTAGTTTATAATTTGTATTTGAGTTAGTTTAATGACCCTATTGAAGACATATTGTCTAAACTTTATGAATAAAGAATATTTGATGTGATAATTTGCATATTACATAATAAAACATTACATTTTTAAATACTAGCTACTTGGGATGTATAAAAAAATAAAATGAAAGCTCAATAGAGCAATGGGGGAAGAATATTTGATTGATTGTACACTGTTCAGTTTTGACAACTGCGATGTCAATGTAACAACATTGATGGGCATGCCCCATTCCACAGCATGAGTGGAATTATGCGTGTAATTCCATTAGATGCCATTCATACCCCCAATGATGAAATAATTAAACAAAAAAAGTGTTTTACAATCCTGCTCACTAGGAAAACAAAGGAATAGTTACAGCTTTCGATTACAGGCCCGGAAACCCATCTGGATTGCTTAAAGTTTGCAGACTTGGAGGAATTGTTTCTAACAACAAATTGTGACGATTTCCCGAGCAAATTGTATGGTTGTTGGTTTGAAAATTGCCTGAAATACCAGGGTGCTAGAAAGACTAACATGCAGTGAATACTGTGTTGTGTCCAGAGTAATTCAGTTACCTTTCATTAGGTATGGCTACAGAAAATGACACTGTATACACTTCTCTAATGATGGCTAAAAATGAAGGAGACTAAATAAACTTGAAAACTATCTTTGTGGCATTTGATTTACCACTGTTCATGAAAGCAGTGTACTTTCAGCCCTGCCACATTCGCTCTTGCAGAGAATTGTTGTCGGACTGGTAGGGTTCCACTTAGTGGTGTCTTTTTTAGGTACCATCGGGTTCATAATGGCTGATAAAGGGTTGGACCAGAGTGTAGTGTACTCAAAGAACTCAGTTGCACACATAATGGCCATGCTTATTCATGTGTTAGCATCTACCGCTATTGGCCGCTTGGTTTTGAAGCATGTACATTTGACCCATGAAGAGGATGTTGAAATTAAAGAGTGCAATTTTTTACTGATTGTCCGCCAACTAAACAAACTGTAGATAACAATCCAGTCAAAAAAGCCAAAATTTTTTTTCAGAAAAGTGTTTCTGACAAATTTAAACAAGAACTTTTGGAGGTCGAAGAGAGTGGACCAACCGAAAATTATGGATTCAGTACATTAAAATGTTAACTTTGGTTAGAAGGTTTATTCAAGCAGAAAGAACAGGTAGAGATCTCCAATTGGCCGTTGTAAAGATGATGTTGCAAGTGGTCACTTACACTACAGTAAAGCTTGTTATATACCTTCAGTTGATGTCAAATTTACCCCAGCGAATGGATCCTCAGGAGTATAGAACGCTCGCCAACAGTTACTGCACCGTAAGACGCACTAACAAGTTCTGTTCGAGAATATGGACCGATATGGTCAAAGAGCAGACTGCCAATTGTGAGTTAAGGTACTGGGGTTTATGATAAGAAAAGGGTTTAATTTTGAAATGTTAAATGCATATGTCATCCAAAATCTGCGTTTTCAGATATTGTTGAGTCTTTTGAAGACTTCCCTGGAGTATAATTTTTTTTTTTCGACTGAACAGCATATTGATGCTCCAGACAGTAGAGTCAAAAGAGATGAACAAGATATTGAAAAAGCTAAGTACTTGGTTAGAAACACATGATCCTATAAGTACATCTACCGCCGTCATTTCAGTTGTCAGTTGTGTCATTGGGAACGATTCGATCAACTGCCACCTAGACTTCTTGTAGGATTTCAGTTTAAGGAAATCAAACTGAAAAGGTATGACAACATTCGTCCATTAAGTCCAGCCAACTCATCAAATGAAATTCTACAGCAAAGTCGTTAACATTGACCCACTGATCCTGTAAATGAATGCTTTTAAGCAAAGAAGAAGACTTATGTATGAGATTACTTCTCATTTCAGGTTGCACCTTTCCTGTCATTGTTTACCAACACAGGAATGAGTAAGAATGTCAAATCTGCTCTGTGCAAAGAGTTTGATAGTACCGGTACTCAAGAAGAATAGGTGAAGGAGGAACTGGAAATGTTTTTAACTTATCATTGATGGTGGGCACATTTTACACACAGTAAAATGGGGTAGCAACACAAAAAATTCAAACTTACCAATGTATTTGATGGTTACAGTGATCCCGAAGGGTTTAAATATATGAGTAGCTACGCAGATATCAACTTTCTACTCCTCAGAAAAAAATAACTGAAAATATCGCTGTGTGTACAAAAAAGAAAGATTTCTTGCTAATGCCATCAACATGTAAAAATGACATTCTCTTAGCACACTCATTCAATGGTTGTGATAGGCCTACCATCAAGGCAATTTATGGCAAAGGAAAAACAATTACACAAATCGCTAGAGGTTGAAAGTGGTTCGGCCAACCACGTTCACACCTTCAACAAAACAAACCTGACGCCAATCACATTGAGGTGAAACAAGCAGGGGAATGTATACTAATTTTCTTGTACGCATCCAAGGACGGGACGCTAAATCAACTTAGATTTAATCTCTTTCAGAAATCGTTAATGAAAAGTGTAGCCAGATTGGAATCACTACCACCAACATCGGACAATGCTGCTCAACACTCCTACCGCACCACTATCAGATACAACTCTGGCTAGGGAATAAGCTGCGTCCTAAAGAGTAGGGTTGGGTTAGACACGATAACTACCGTACTTGCTACCAATCAGAACGACTACTGAGCCAGCTCCAGAGACAATACTAAAATTGGTATATTGTTCGTTTAAAGGTAGCTGTTCAACATCACAATGCTCCTATGTAAAGAGCGGGATTCATTGTTCACATTTTTGCTGATTTTGTGAAGGCCATGTAGCCTACAAACTCTAAAAACCCAACTCCTGTGCTGTCAATTGGCAGTAAAATTGTGTCAAGTCAAGACGTTAATAGAGAAGATTGAGTTGAGGACCCTGACAATTCCACGGATGGTGATGATGCATCAGTGGCTAATGGACAATATGACACGTAGTAGTTAAAGAGGCGTGATTTTCTACCAGTTTCTTAGTTAATGTTCCTACATCGTAACATGTGACTAATAGATTCATGACCAATTTTGTAATAATTGATATTAACTGAATTATTTTACCTTGGTTTGTCATTTTTTTATGAATAATTTTTTTTTCATAGTCTGGCAGTGATTTTTTTATGCTTTTTTTATTCTGTATCCTAAAAAAACACAGAAAAAGACACCCCACTAGCTTGGATCCCATAAATGTTCTCAAAATCACTTACTCCCAATCTTTAACCCCCACAAAATGGTACTTCCAAATCACTAGGCTCGTCAGCCAGCCTTCAATCCCATTTTGATGCAATCTCAGGGTACGTGCCGACTCCAGTATACAATGGCACGTTTTCCCCCCTGGGACCTCCCCCCGCCATACCTGCTACCCCACCTTACCCACCTCCGTCAATGCTCAACTACTTGCCTCAGCCAGCCTTCAATCCCATTTTGATGCATCCTCAGGGTACGTGCCGACTCCAGTATACAATGGCTGTTTTCCCCCCTGGGACCTCCCCCGCCATACCTGCTACCCCACCTTACCCACCCCCCGGCAATGCTCAACTACTTGCCTCAGCCAGCCTTCAATCCCATTTTGATGCAACCTCAGGGTACGTGCCGACTCCATTATACAATGGCATGTTTTCCCCCCTGGGACCTCCCCCCGCCATACCTGCTACCCCACCTTACCCACCCCCGTCAATGCTCAACTACTTGCCTCAGCCAGCCTTCAATCCCATTGCGATGCATCCTCCGGGGTTGGTAGTTAGGTAGGTAGTTATTGCCATTAGGATTTGAAATCTGAAGAGTCCCTAGTGATTTGGAAGTACCATTTTGTGGGGGTTAAAGATTGGGAGTAAGTGATTTTGAGAACATTTATGGGATCCAAGCTAGTGGGGTGTCTTTTTCTGTGTTTTTTTAGGATACAGAATAAAAAAAGCATAAAAAAATCACTGCCAGACTATGAAAAAAAATTATTCATAAAAAAATGACAAACCAAGGTAAAATAATTCAGTTAATATCAATTATTACAAAATTGGTCATGAATCTATTAGTCACATGTTACGATGTAGGAACATTAACTAAGAAACTGGTAGAAAATCACGCCTCTTTAACTACTACGTGTCATATTGTCCATTAGCCACTGATGCATCATCACCATCCGTGGAATTGTCAGGGTCCTCAACTCAATCTTCTCTATTAACGTCTTGACTTGACACAATTTTACTGCCAATTGACAGCACAGGAGTTGGGTTTTTAGAGTTTGTAGGCTACATGGCCTTCACAAAATCAGCAAAAATGTGAACAATGAATCCCGCTCTTTACATAGGAGCATTGTGATGTTGAACAGCTACCTTTAAACGAACAATATACCAATTTTAGTATTGTCCCTGGAGCTGGCTCAGTAGTCGTTCTGATTGGTAGCAAGTACGGTAGTTATTGTGTCTAACCCAACCCTACTAACCCTACTCTTTAGGACGCAGCTTATTCCCTAGCCAGAGTTGTATCTGATAGTGGTGCGGTAGGAGTGTTGAGCAGCATTGTCCAATGTTGATGGTAGTGATTCCAATCTGGCTACTCTTTTCATTAACGATTTCTGAAAGAGATTAAATCTATGTTGATTTAGCGTCCCGTCCTTGGATGCGTACAAGAAAATTTGTGTACATTCCCCTGCTTGTTTCACCTCAATGTGATTGGCGTCAGGTTCGTTGAAGGTGTGAACGTGGTTGGCCGAACCACTTTCAACCTCTAGCGATTTGTGTAGTTGTTTTTCCTTTGCCATAAATTGCCTTGATGGAGGCCTATCACAACCATTGAATGAGTGTGCTAAGAGAATATCATTTTTACATGTTGATGGCATTAGCAAGAAATCTTTCTTTTTTGTACACAGCGAAAATTTCAGTTATTTTTTTCTGAGTAGTAGAAAGTTGATATCTGCGTAGCTGCTCACATTTTTAAACCCTTCGGGATCACTGTAACCATCAAATACATGGGTAAGTTTGATTTTTTTGTGTTGCTACCCCATTTTACTGCAAGTAAAATGTATGCCCACCATCAATGATATAAGTTAAAAAATTGTCCAGTTTTTCCTTCATGTATTCTTCTTAAGTACTATCAAACTCTTTGCACAGAGCAGATTTGACCTTCTTACTCATTCCTGTGTTGGTAAACAATGACAGGAAAGGTGCAACCTGAAATGAGAAGTAATCTCATTCATAAGTCTTCTTCTTTGCTTAAAAGCATTCATTTACAGGATCAGTGGGTCAATGTTAACGCCTTTGCTGTAGAATTTCATATGATGAGTTGGCTGGACTTAATGGACGAATGTTGTCATACCTTTTCAGTTTGATTTCCTTAAACTGAAATCCTACAAGAAGTCTAGGTGGCAGTTGATCGAATCGTTCCCAATGACACAACTGACAACTGAAATGATGGCGGTAGATGTACTTGAAATAGGATCATGTGTTTCTAACCAAGTACTTAGCTTTTCAATATCTTGTTCATCTCTTTTGACTCTACTGTTTGGAGCATCGATATGCTGTTCAGCCGGAAAAAAAATATACTCAACTAATTCAGTTTTCTGCATCCAATATTAACCAAGAAATAATTGTAAATACAAACTTAACTACAATTCATTCACAACAGTCAATAAATTATTTGGGAATAGAAATCGATTCACAACTAAATTGGCAAAAACGCATTAAAAACCTATCAAAAAGACTACGCTCAGCAACATTTGTTCTCACAATAATTCGGGATACTACTAATCTAGAAACACAAATAGTAGTATATCACGCATATTTTTCATCGATTATGAATTATGGAATTACTGTATGGGGCTCATCAAGCCAGGCCAAAAAAAATATTTATTCTCCAAAAAAGAGCTGTAAGATTAATGGCCAGAGTCTCCCGTAGAACACATTGTAAAGATTTATTTATTAATTTTAAAATTTTAACTTTTTTTAGCTCTTATATTTACAAATTGGCATTAATGGTTAAAAGTGATTTCGACACATTCATGGACTGTCAACAATCTCATCCACATAACACAAGATTCAAAAATATTATAAAACCAGTTCAACATAGGCTTAAAATCTTTCATTTATCCCCTCAGTATATGGGACCAAAAATTTACAATAAATTACCCGCTGGGATTAAAAACATTGCCTCATTCTCTAAATTTAAACTATCTTTAAAAAATTTCCTATTGGAGAGGGCATTTACTCGTTAGAGGAATATCTGGAAAATGAGTATATTTGAAAGATATTGCTTCTCCCATAGGTTTGTAGCTTATTATATGCTTTATTTCTTTTGTAAGCTATTTTATTTTAAAATGTAGTATAGTATTAGTATTAGACTTTCTGACAAATCACCTGTCAAGAGAATTGATGTAATGTGATGATGTTTAATAAATAAATAAATAAATAAATACTCCAGGGAAGTCTTCAAAAGACTCAAAAATATATGAAAACACAGATTTTGGATGACATTTGCATTTAACATTTCATCATTAAACCCTTTTTTTATCATACACCCCAGTACCTTAACTAACAATTGGCAGTCTGCTCTTTGACCATGTCGGTCCATATTCTCGAACAGAACTTATGCTCGAAAGATTAGAATATGCTTCTGTGGTATGGTATCCTAGTGTGAACTATTTATCCGATCTCATAGAGGATGTCCAAAGAAGGTTCTTGAGATTTCTTTATTACAAAACATTTATTCACTATACGATGCTGGTCCCTTACTCAGAACTTCTCACACTGTTTGAAATCGATCAGTTGAGTACTAGGCGTAAAGTGTCAATGATGTTGTATCTGAGGTGGTTGGTGTGTGGTGAGCTCGACGACGCAGCGCTGCTGTCCCGTGTGCGGTTCACGTTGCCCAGACACAATTCACGTTCGCGTTTGCTCTTCTCCCCCCACTTCTCTAGAACGAACCTTGGAATGTATTCGCCGCTCAACTCAATGGTAAGGCTGTTCAACACAATTAATAACGACCAAATAGACATATTTTTTAACTGTCACAGTATGTTCAGGAAATACGTTTTTAGATATTTAATTACTCCAAATAATTATTGTTATTAAATTAATTACTCTGTTTAGACTTTGTTGTTGTATTTTATTTATTATTGTTATGTATGTTATGTGTTATTTATTATTAATTTGTTATTGTTGTTATAGATATTTAAATAATTGCCAATGTTATTTTTTAAGATATGTATTTGTACATTATTTATTGATATTAGTTTGTTTTTGTCATATATTGTATTGTTGTGAGTGATTGCACTAATAATTATAATTTATTCAGCAAGATGAACTTTTACCACATTTATTATTTATAATGCATGTCAAGATTTTGATGTTCGAATATTAATGCTACAATGTAATTGGGTTAGTAAAAGAAAAATATTAAAAAATAAAAAGAACTTGTTAGTGCGTCTTACGGTGCAGTAACCGTTGGCGAACGTTCTACACTCCTGAGGATCCATTTGCTGGGGTAACTTGGACATCAACTGAAGGTATATAACAAGCTTTACTGTAGTGTAAGTGACCACTTGCAATGAAATAAGGCATCATCATCTTTACAACGGCCAATTGGGGATCTCTACCTGTTCTTTCTGCTTGAATAAACCTTCTAACCAAAGCTACCATTTTAATGTACTGAATCCATAATTTTCGGTTGGTCCAATCTCTTCAACCTTCAAAAGTTCTTGTTTAAATTTGTCAGAAACACTTTTTTGAAAAAAACTTTTGGCTTTTTTGACTGGATTGTTATCTACAGTTTGTTTAGTTGGCGGACAATCAGTAAAAAATTGCACTCTTTGATTTCAACATCCTCTTCATGGGTCAAATGTACATGATTCAAAACCAAGCGGTAGATGCTGACACATGAGCACGAATTACACACGAATAAGCATGGCCATTATGTGTGCAACTGAGTTCTTTGAGTACACTACACTCTGGTCCAACCCTTTATCAGCCATTATGAACCCGATGGTACCTAAAAAAGACATCACTAAGTGGAACCCTCCCAGTCCGACAACAATTCTCTGCAAGAGCGAGCGAACTATCCACAAAGATAGTTTTAAAGTTTATTTAGTCTCCTTCATTTTTAGCCATCATTAGAGAAGTGTATACAGTGTCATTTTCTGAAGCCATAATGAAAGGTAACTGAATTACTCTAGACACAACACAGTATTCACTGCAAGTTAGTCTTTCTAGCACCCTGGTATTTCAGGCAATTTTCAAACCAACAAACATACAATTTGCTACCGGTAGGGAAATCGTCACAATTTGTTGTTAGAAACAATTCCTCCAAGTCTGCAAACTTTAAGCAATCCAGATGGGTTTCTGGGCCTGTAATCGAGAGCTGTAACTATTCCTTTGTTTTCTAGTGAGCAGGATTGTCAAACACTTTTTTTGTTTAATTATTTCATCATCGTTGCTATGCTGAGTGCATGGCAACGCTGGTGGCGCTGCCTACGGATTGACAGGCAAAGCTCTCTCAAAACGCTTAATGCTTTTTACCATGCGGTTGGCATTATGGGTTATAGTAGTACGTTTTCTGTGCTTAAATTGAAATGAACAATTGATAGAATAAAATGGGTTTCTTGTCGATTAGTCTTTTAGTAAGCCTTTGGAACTGTTTGTTTTAGGCATATTTTTACTTTCTCCTCCTATAGCATGGTATATGGAGAAAGTATTGTTTTCGTCAAAATTTTCGAGTTTGAGTTTTGAGTGGATAATATATTTGTTTTGGGCCCCCCTGGACCCAAAAAAGTGATTTTCGAAGTGATATATGTGTGTCTGGATGTGTACAGAGCTAGGGACTACACCTGTGGTCCGATTTCGATGAAATTTGGTACCTATGTATGTTTTAATCCATAGTATCTCCAGGCGTTTTTTAAATTTTTTTGAAATTTTGATTTTTAATGGGGATTTTCCCATAAAAAACAGAAAAATCAATTTTCTCAAAAATGGCCTGAACGATTTTGATAAAAAAATAGTATGTTGTAGCCCTTTAAATTGTGAACAAAATGGTACAACTCCCATTTCTGTAAAAATTACGGTTCAAAAGTTATTGTAAATTATGTTATTTTCCCATAAAAACCCCATAAATAACTAAAAAATTGGATTTTTGGAGAAAAGCTGGTTTTGATCAAAGTGAATATGTTATGGTCCTTAAAAATAATTCTAAAAAATAGTACAACACCCCATTGCTGTAACAATTGCGGTGTTTGCTATTGCAACTTATGTAGTTTTTAACTATAAACAACATATTTACTCTCACCGCTTACCCATGATAAAGGTTGTTGACGAGCTTATGGGAGAAAGTATATGTCAGATTGCTGATACCGTTTATTTAGTATAGTTTAAGCCAAGTACGAATGGAGATGAGTGGTGAGATCTTGTAGTCTTGTTAGTGACTAAGGCCGAGAAAAGACACCCCACTTGCTTGGATCCCATAAATAAAAATTTCTCAAAATCACTACCCCCAAACGTAAACCTCCATAAAATGGTATCCATAAAATCACTAAGGACTCTTCAGACTTCAAATCCTAATGGTAACTACTATATTTCCTGCAAGTTTCATTAACAGACAAAATTTTATGTTTTCTACTAGTCTTTTAGTAGAATTTTACTTGTACTAACTACAATTTGGGGCAGAATAATTACCAACTCACAATTATTTGCATATCACTTATTTTATTCTCAATATTTTTCCAAAGTTTTCTTGACAGTCACATTAGAAGTTATTGAGCATCTATTACAGTATGCAAAGACAACATTTAGAATAATTTACATAACAATATGTAACTTGAGGAATAAACAATATCGGCATAACAAATATACATAGTTGGGAGGAGAAAAATGTACATTGTGGATGGGTACTATTGGAAACTATTGTCTTTGGACAAGGAGAAATGAAAAAAATGTTTGGATGAGGAATAGGAGGGGGACATGACACAAATGTTTGTTGGAGAAAGAGGGAAACATGTAACAAATGTTCATCGGAAAACATGTAACATAGATCTCAACAGAGCTGTGTCTTTTAAATTATAAAGTACAGTATATTGAAACTTGATTTGATTTTACTAAAACAGTCACATATGAGCTATACGATCATTGTTCAGCAAAAATGTTTTTTTGGTTGAAGAAAAAACATTTGTTTACCAAAATAAGCTGAGTTGTCACAGTGTTCAGTTCACTAGTTCGATCCTGAGAAAAGAAAATAGTATGTCGATTCATGTTACATTGAGCTTAAAATAAACACAAAAATATGCGTCCCGATCTTATAAAGTGTTAGGCTTTAATTTCCTAGTGAAACATTATACTAAAACAATTGGAATAAGTCATATCAAGAATTATCACCATCAAAACTATATATTATTTTAAACCTTTACCCTGCAAATTGTCACAATCATATTACGTACATAGTTCCATTTATATATCTTACGACTCAGCACAACCATTTCTTCGTCAATTCAATATGTTTTATAAACAACAATTTTTACAAGATATAAATAATCAAATGATTTGATAAGACTATGTAAACCATACAATTTTCTGGCAATGATAAAATCTTAAATATCAAAGGATACATGTAAATCTGCATGATACAATTTTAGCTCTGTGCTTGTTAAAAAATATGTAATCTCACACCAGTCTGAACTTTGTTTATCAAATGTATTTGCGCTAATTATTTATCTGTTATTAGCCTTGTTCTTCTTTTGGCTTTAAGCTACAATAGACTAAATACCCCCGCCGCCTCAAACCTGCAGACTAAGTGAAATTCCATTTACCTGGCTAGAATTCCGCTTAAATATTCCCTTAAAATTTCAGATTTATTTCCTTTATAAATAACATTATTCTAGTGATTCTACGTTTGGTGCTACAAGGAAGGTAAAATTTATGTTTTTAGGGGAAGAAATGGGTAAACCAATTTTTACCCCATAAAACCCCCACAAAACCCTTTCAAATAGTGAACAAAACATAGATTTACACTTTTACCAAATTAAATTAAAATCACAAAATTTTGATTCAAATCATCATGCTAACGGACACACTTATACATATATAAGAATTTGAAGGGTGTTTTAGGCCTCTGGGGACATCAAAACAAAAAATTAAATCAGTGTCGGGTCCAGGTATAACCTGAAACCTACGGTAATAGCTAATAATTTAATTTCCTAGCTAATTGTTTTGTAATGCGCTTGTCATAGGAAAATACAGAAACTACTAAACTGACTAAAACTACTAACTGACTAAACAGAATGGGAGATCGTGGACTCTGTCGAAACATGTGTCCGTTAGAATCTCAAGCTACTCTTAGTGGAAGTCTAAAGTTTTGAGGTGGATCTTTTTTAAATAGATACTAAATGGTGTCCGTGGTTTAAACAAATTAAATCACAACATTTACATTTTATTAAGACATAGTTTTCATTTTGATAAGTCATTAATTTAATTTCACCACAAAGCAATTTAATTGTGGCACAACTGAATCAGGTTTCTAAACTGAATTAAGGGAGTATAACTGTTTTATATGGTGGATTATTTTCAGAAATTTGACCCAAAAAACAACTAAAGAAACTAGAAATAAAAAGTCATTAAATTGCAATTAGAGCCGTTTATAAAATCGTACATCATACAGTTTGATACAAATATTTATTTAACAATCTCCAACAAGCACAAGAGAAATATTTCAGTTTATCTTTTAACACAGTAGACACAATAATAAATAAGCTATAAACTTAATATACATAAACAATAAAATATAATAGATTGGTTTATTATCTCTGGATTTTCACAGACTAAATAAAAGACACTCCTAATCATTTTTAAATTTTTAACTGATTTCCTCAAAGTACAAAAAATATTTTTGTTTTAATACATAACCTTAAAATTATTACAAATTTTCAATGATCTAGCTAATTTAAAATTTCAGGCAATCACAAATATAAACACAATTTTTAGAGAACACAACCAAGAAATATTACAAAGATACAAAATACTATTTAACGCAAACCTCACAAACTCGGAGATATTTTTCATTTAACATGTTTTTGCAAACAATCCATAAACGTTCCTTACTCTACAAATTGTACAAAACTACAATGCCGGTCTGTACAATCGAATAATCTATAAATAAATTATAACACAAGGAGCAGTAAACTCAAAGGAACAAAATCATTTACCAGATGTTAAGACTACTGTACATGAGTTGGCGCTAAGCACTGTACACCAAGCGCCGAGTAAAAGGTTTCACCGACGCAACCGCTCATAACATGCCGAAACCTTTTGAATAGCTGATGGCTTTTATTAGACGGTCGCTTAGCTTCTCTTTACTCTCGTACTCAGGGAGAAGAAGAACGTTGAAACACGTATGGGCTGTAGGTAACCTGAAACATAGTTTGTGGTTGAAACTTCTTGTAGAAAAAAATACCCCACTGCAGCAAACCTGCAGACTAAGCAAACTTCCATTTGCCTAATTGGATTTACACTAAAATGTCTTCTTAAAAATAACACATTTATTCCCTATTTATATAGCATTAGTTTAACGAGTACTCTAGGTTTGCTGCAACCGGGAGGGTAAAAAAGTTTTTTTTTTTGTAAAATATTAATAGTTTAGTAAGAAATAAATGCATTTTCCAAATGTGATCAAAATATGCATGAGAGAATGCACAATGAAAATTTTTAATTCACATTTTTTTTTTTTTTTTTCTACGTAACCATTAGGCGCATAATGACACTTCAATATACTAAAATAGTGGGGAACTGTTTACTCCATTGCTGCTAACTTGTGTGTAAAAAAACTACAATTACACAAAAATATTCAGCAGTTTCAAAATAAAAACTGCTAAAGTGCTCAATTTCAATACTTCTTGAATCTCAAAATTTTAGATTTGGTTTCGTCACATCAAATAATACCATGATATCCCTTTATGCACATCAAATCGAATAATGGAAAACTGCCCCAGGACTGGGCTAAGTCACATAACCTAAAAGGTTGGTAAGACTGACTTACCTATCAGAGTCTGGTCCGTTGCGGGCGATGATGAGCTTCAGTTTGCTAAGGCCTCCGACCGGAACACGATCACTGCCTGTAGCGAACTGCAACAGCTTCCTTTGGTCCTCGGGGGTGAGAGTGTGAACGATCTGCCAGAACCATCTGACCACGAGGGAATCACTGGTGTAACCTCCGTCATACTCGGCCACCTCCTCCAGCTCGGCCAGGTCAAACCTCTGCAGAACGGGCAAACGGGTTAGATGAGTGAATGGCGCAACAGAGGGCAGTATAGGTATGTTTTCCTGAAATTTCAGTAACTGTGCTGCATGCTACGCAATTATGCTATAGAATGCAGTGTGATTAAAATAGAACACAGGGCAAAATTGTTTTCCTGGGAGTCCGTCAATGCGTTGCGGTTCCTACAGTAGCGATCTACTAAGGATCAGAGAAGTGTCTCGCTTTTATGTTGATGTTTGAAGAGGAAGAGATAGACGAAAATTTTTGACCTAGCTCTTCTGTCTAAAAGTCGAAAATCCTCTATTGAAAACTGTTTTCATGAGCTCATTGAGAAAAATATATGGTCCAACCTTTGAAGATGGTGAGTGGAGGATAAAACACAATGCGGACTTGAGGCAATTATACATGGACCCAGACATAGTGGCCGAGGTGAGAGGCAGGAGAATGAGATGGGCTGGCCATTTACTAAGGAAAGAGGACGACTCCTTAGTCAAGAACGTCCTTTTGAACAATCCGGAGGGCAGAAGACCACCAGAGACCAGGTTAGAAAAGAAAGAAGATTGGGAAGAAGGGAAGAGGCAATGGATAGAAAAATCTGGAGGCATAGTGTTGGCGAGGCAAAGTACCACCTTGGGTACCAAGAGCCACGGTAGTAAGTAAGTAATCATGAGCCCTAGGATGCTTTTAGAAATCTTGTCCTTAAAGTTGTTTTTGGATTCATGATCACTCATTTTCCACAGAATTTCAATTGAAAGAGGATAAATGAGAAAAGTGCAGAGAAAGAAAGAAGGAACTCTTTCTCTACACTTGACAAGTCCCCAGGGGATATTGTGTGTTACTTTATTTTGAATTCACCTTGCTGCCGCAGACCAGCTGTTCAACTTCCTCAGGTCTAAACAGTAAGCTCAACGGACTCTCGTCGGTCACCATCTGGAAACCTCTTCTGAACGCACGGAACTGTCTCTCCACCGACGTGTTCAACAAGAAGTCCGCATATAGGTCCACGAATTCCTAAAACAAATTATAAGTTAGCAGAATATAAGCCAGTGAACCATACTACCTTACAGATTTACCATCTTAATGAGATGGATAACAATGGAAGCAAAGGTAGTAACGCATAAAAGATATTTTAGGCCAATAGCTTTTTTAGGCAAAAGAGTAGAGTCAAGAAGAAAGAGAATGTTGTAGAGATGGGAAATATTGTTACTTTTCAATAATAATCAAGAACGTTGCTTAGCTTTGGCAATTTTTTTTTTCTTAGGACGCTAGGCACGAGCCCAGAATTGTTTTTCACATTACTTCAGGCTAAATTAGGGGTTGCGGCATCATCACATAGATAAAATCCATTGATGATTTGGCAGGATTTGAACCCGGAAGCTCTGGAACCAAAGTCCCACGCTCTAACCACTAGACTTAATCCTTAATCCTTGATCCATTGCACCCTTGGATGCAATGGATGAAATAATACTCCTAATTTTGTCACCTATACTTACTCGTCCAGTACACCTCAGCTGGTTTCTATTAATAGGAAGACACAATCAGCGTAATTTCAAGACAACATTACAAAAATAATCGTATTGTCAGTGATCTCTTTTCATGGAACTTCAATTATCAATTAATCAAAATGAGGATTATTTCAAGATGCTTGCTGTTTAATTATCAACCTGCACCACTACAACACCCGTCATGGCTCCAAATTTGCACTACCAGTTCACCGAACAACTCTTTGGGAGAAAAAACCTTCCTACACCGGCTGCAAGCTGAGGAACCATCTACCTGACTACCTGAGAGACCTGACTGGCAACAAGCTACACCAGGAGTTGAAGAAGTGGCTAATCGCAAGACCCTTCTACTCAATAAAGGAATTTTATGAAAATTATGGAAATTAACATGTACAATTCACTATTGTATTGACACTATTGTAATTCTTAACGAATGAACAATAAAGAATATTGTATTGTATTACCCCTTTGTCGGTGACACCACCAACAACTCCCAACGCATTCGTTATAGAAAAATATGTGATATCGCCAGCCGGCAGCTTTAGGAGTAACAGTACCTTACATGCATCTTTCTGATTGAACATTATTTTGATCTCACACCTCCCTCCACAAAGCCCCTTTTGATCGGTTATAAATATATATGTAAAGTAAGATTTTTATTGATTTCATGCACAATTTTATTGATTACACATGGTTTTAGTTTTAATAAGTTTTTGTATGAATATATGTATAAAAACATAGTATGTCTAATGTTAAAACATCTGGAAAAACTCTGTGTCACCGAACATGTTTTAAAATCAAAGACACCGACGAAGGGTTAAAGGAAGTCTCCATCAGCCTACTAATTTCTTTCGCTTGTTTAAACAGTTCAGACTAATTGAGGAAAATAGAGTCCTGGGGCTAATTTTCCTTAGTAAATTAGCCCCTGGACACTTATTTTCCCAGGAAAGCTCGCTAATCACTATTTTTTAATAATTCCTAAAGAGTTAAAAAAATATATACTTAAAATAATGCCGGATTAGCAGGCTTTTACAGCAATCAGTAAATGTATTTAACTTTTCAAATACCTTCTTATTATCCTGCGTGACGAACACAGAGTCTCCGTTAGGTTTGAGGTCGTGGTGAAGCACGGAGCCGAAGATATCCGTATAACAGACTCTGAACGTCTGCATGAAAATTGACTCTAGGTCATCGCCTTCGTAGTTCAACATATCCTGTAGGCCGCTGTGCAACGTCTGAAAGCAAACACATGCTAATTAAATAAAGTTGTGTGAAAAGTGATTTTTTGACAAGCAAATTTTAATTTGTCTGATTTGATTTTAACTCAAATAGGTATTTCTAAAACAGTTAATTATTTCCCCCATTATTTCAATAACGAGATTTAACGATTATTTGATTTGCTGCTACAGAGAAGGGAAAAAGTGTATTTTTTTAGGTTTTTTATGTTAATAGTATAGTAGGAAATAAATAAATTCAATCATTTTCCTTTTTATCCATAAAAATAACATGGGAATTATTTTTTAAAATTTTTTTCTCAGTAACCTATAATTGTACACCAACGCTTCAGTATACAAAATTGTTGGTTTTTAAGCTTTAGACGATGGGTGTAATGAAAATTGGGCATTTCCATTCACGGGTAAAAAAAAGTAACAAAAAACCTTATCAGCCATGAATTAATTATGATTTAGTTAATTTTAAACTAGTTGCATGCTCATACCCTATTCCAGTCTTCAAGGTCATGGTAAGTGCCCCTCTTCCCCATCAGTTTCCTATAGACCACCATAGGGAAGTGAACGTCTAGGATGATGTTGTTGTAGATAGCCAATCCTAGCACAATGCCGATCAGCGTGTACTGGGCGTCGCTCTCAAACGATGTCGTGTTGAACCACACAGTCTGCGACTCTTCCTGGAATGTGAACATCCCTGAAAAGTAACAAACTCATTACAAACAAACAAACAACAACAACACAAACAACATTACAAACAAACTCATTAACACTGAAGGAAACAGGTACTGATGAAAGAATTGAGGCAAATTTGTATTGTTGAGCATAACAAAATATTCTTACAAGAAAGTGTCCAATCTGGTACAGGATACACAAAACTTTACACTATTCTGGGTGTCCCATAAGTAAACAGCCAAACTCCGGGAAATGGTTCTATGGGTCAAAATAAAGAGAAATCAAGAATAATTTTTTTTCCAAAATCGCTTTGTTAACCAGATATCCGCCATTTTGTATTTTTAAATAAACATTTTTATTTTTTAACGTTTTCAACCGATCTTTATACAACTTGGTATGTAGGTTAAGGTAGAAAAGACCAATGTTAGAAAAAAAAAATTCATCTTGATTCAACTAAACATTTCAAAATGACGACCATTTAAATTTTTTAAACTTAAACTACTCAAAAATGGCCAATTTTATGATAAAAATGCCAAGAACTCTTTTATTTAGCATTTTTAATTCCCTATTAAACGATACCAAGTTCAAAAAAATTGAATAAGAAATAGCTTAAATATATCGATTTTTAGTTAAAAATGAGGCAGCTTTTGCCTTATTCTACCCCATTTTACAACTAAAGATGGTAATATTTCAGCTATTTCTTGTACAATCTTTTTTAACTTGGTATCGTTTTATAGGGAATTAAAAATGCTAAATAAAAGTATTCTTGAAATTTTTTCATAAAATTAGCCGTTTTTGAGTAATTGAAGTTAACAAAAAAAAAAAAAAAATAATAAATAAAAAAATAAAATGGACACCATTTTGAAAGTTCAATCAAGATGATTTTTTTTTTTCTAATAGTGATATTTTCTATTTCTACCTTAACCTACATACCAAGTTGTATAAAGATCAGGTGAAAAAGTTGAAAAATAAAAATGTTTATGTACAAAATGGCGGATATCTGGTTAACAAAGTGATTTTGGAAAAAAAATTATTCTTAATTTCTTTTTATTTTGACACATAGAACCATTTCCCGGAGTTTGGCTGTTTACTTAGGGGACACCCTGTATATATAAAATTTTATTATATTTCACTGTTAGTTTGAACATCACACCGTCAGTGAGTTTTTGTGTATCCTGTACCAGTTTGGACTCTTTCACAAAAAATCCTAAAAACCAAGGCCCTTGTGCTCTAGTTTACATCCATAACCTCAAACTGAAACAACACCCATTTTCTCTCTTCCCTATCGTGTTATTTTTATCCATCCATATTTCCTATTGCTTTTCACGCTGTTTCTTGCCAAATCTTGGATTAAGCAAATGAAGAATAGTGCTTTTCAATTGGCCAAAGTCAAAGAAAGTTAAAGAAAACTCTCTCCCTTAGTTGAAAATGCTATCAGTGACAGTGAAATATTCTAATGTTTTATGTATAGTGTAAAGCTGTGTGCATCCTGTACCAGTTTGGACTTTTTCCCATTTATGTGAACCTGATATCATCACAAAAATCCTAAAAACCTAGGCCCTTGCTGCTCTATGTTAAGTTAAATCCTTCAAATATTCTTTCAATATAGAGTAACAATATGCACAAACGGGTAAACTCACCGTAATCAGGGTTAAATATTTCTTCTACTATAAGTTGAAAGAATTCCTTTGACACTCCTCCCTCATCGATTCCTTGCTCTCCTTCAAACTCTATTACCAGTTGTTTCTTCAAGTCTTTGGGGTTCTCCATTGCTACTACTTCTAGCTGTAACAATATTGGAAAAATGATTCAAAATTAGAGACCACCAATTTCAAAATAAGTTGCAGCCAGTTTTTTACCATTTTTACTTTTCCTCCCTATGTAGTATTTATGGAAAAAGTATTGTTTTTGTCAAGATTTTCGAGTTTGATTTCGGGAGGAAAATCAGCTGTTTTGGGTCCTCTTGAACCCCAAAAATTGGTTTTTAAGTGTGTCTGTGAATGTGTGGATGTGTACAGAGCTACAGACCATTCCATTGAACCAATTTTTATGAAATATTCATCTAGCAGGTACTAATCCATGGTATCACTAGGGCTTCATTGTTTATTTTATTTTTTTTTATGGTGATTTGTCCATAAAACCCCATAAAAATAAAATTGAAAGAATACGGTTTGAATCATCTTGATTACAATTTTTGATGTTATGGTAATTTTAACTCAAAACAAAAATGGTAAGCTGCAGTCCCATGTTCTGTAAAAAAAGTTATGGCAACTTTTGTGATTTTCCTCATAATAAATCATAGTTACTCCCTCTGCTTGCCCAAGACAAGGGTTGTTGACACGCAAATTGTTGAAAGTATATGTGTCAGATTGCTGATAAGGTTACTAACTATTTGGTTCTATTCCCCTAAGAAAATCAAATTCAAGATGATCAAATTCTTATATTGTTAACTTACCTCTACTAGGGCGTCATCGATGATGTGGTCCCTCCGCACTTTCAGCCTAAGGTAGGGATTGGTCGGTTGTCCCGTCACAGTCTGAAAGAAGCTCATCCGCCTTTCACTGAACATCCGTATCCTGTTGTCGTAGTACAAACCCAGCGTCTTTGTGGCAGGAGTTAAAATGAAGGAGTACCTGAGAAAAACCAAACCATTAGAAACTGTTAGGGAGCCCTGGACCATACATTTGAAACCTCACAACATTGTTTAAGGGATTATGGCCATTTTACAGTGCAATTGAAAAATCAATGTTTGCAAAGTTTTGGGATCTGAATTTTGATACTATCCGCAGATGAGAATGACCTGTTCTGGTCTCTAAGTTGAGTTAATCCTAATATTGACATATGCTGATGCCTTAGTCTACCAGATTTGTACGCAACTCACTCAGAAAGTTGTTAGGATTATTATGTACAAGGATAGGGATCAGCTATCTTACCTGGTAGACAGAGTCCAGATTGGCCTTGGTAACACACATAAAACACATGACACAAATCAGAAAACTTAATATTTCATCACAGGTAGGGACTTCCTCAGAAGGTAAAGTTCAAATTCAATTTCGGAAGTTTAAATTCGGAATCTGAACTTTAACTGCCAGTCTTTTTTCTTCTCCCTTCTGATGAAGTCCCTAACTGGGACAAAAAGTTTTCTGTGTTGTGTTATGTGTTTTATGTGTGTTACCAAGGCTATCTGGAGTCTGTCTACCAGGTAAGCTAGCTGATCCCTACCCTTGTACATAATAATCCTAATTAGCCAACTGGCCTTTCCTTAACTTCTAACCTCAGGAAGTGGTTAGTAATATTCGGTTGAAATCATGAGCAAGGCTTGCCCGGCTATTACTCTCACACCGTAAATCCTACTTCCCAGCCTTGATGCATGGTAATTTAAGGTTTATTGCGAATACTCCATCACATATCAGTAAAACAAGATTTATGACTTTTGGATTTGGACTCTAAATCCTCTAGGTGGGGAGGAACCGAGAATTAACAAGGAAGACAAATCAGTTTTTGATCCTGCATTACAGACATAATGGATTTATCATCTATTCTTAACATTTTTAATTTAATTATCTAGCCTAAACATTTTTTGCAGTTTCTCCCCTCCTAAAGACTCAAATTCCCGATTTTGAAGTTAGCGCCATGTTTACTAGACAGCTGATTACCTCATAAAGCTGAACTTGCTGTTGGGTGATGTAGAACTATCTCCCTCGCTGCTCTTGTAGTTGGCAAAGTCTTTGTCCATCTCTACTGCGTCAGAGAGAGGCTCGTTGTAGAACTCGGAGAATGGCAGAAACGGTTTCCGGCTCTCCAACACATTCACCTGTTAAGTCAAAGTTCTTGGTCATTTCTGAGATGTTACTCAGTGTTACTGAAATAATTGAAACAGTTCCAACGAAGATTTTAAATTGTATAATTAGGAGGATAGCAGCTAGCTTAAATTGAAAAAGTATAGGTAGGCTATAGAAAATATAGAAGAGACTTGTGCACAAATATCTCTTCCCCTGGAGGACTTTGTCAAGAGTAGAGAAAGTGATAGATTGTAGAAACCTTTTGTGAACTCCTTTTTATAAGCTCTATCACTTTCTCTATACTTGACAAAGTCCCTTATGGGACGAAATATTGTATGCACAGTGTCTCTTCTGTATGTTCTACTACCTACACTTTTTCATGGCAAACTAGCTCCTATCCTCCTTATTCTACAATTCAAAATCTTGGCCTAGAGCCTTTTCTTAATACGATAAATTTATAATACATTTCAACCATCTGAACTTTTTATGCCAGCTGTTTATTTTACACATAAAAGGCAGGCATGGGATAAGATTTGCGGTTTAAATGAGACTACAGTTTGCAGAGATAAATGGTTACCTTGAGTTCCTGAGAGAGAGGGTCCTGCGCCTGAGGTTGCCTCGGACTCTTGTGTAGAGTAAGGTAGTCATCATCTGGAATCTCTTCCTCTATTGTAGTGTCCGGAGGTTCAAGCTCACCAGCCAATAGGTTGGCGTAGTAGATGATCTGACAAGTCAGACAAAAATTATATTTATATCAGTTTATAAAATGTTTTGTTAACATTAACTAACAAGTAGAACCAGTAATAAGTACAGTAAGAAAGCGAAGAATCTCATTCTTTGGATATTTATTGAGGTTTCCAATATCAAGGGTAAGCAGAGAGATTGAAAATTATAGAACAGCAAAACTAACATCAAGTGGATTACTATGACTAAAAATGTCAATGGAAGATTTAAAAGACAAGACTGAGACACTTGAAGCACTAAAAGACATACATACAATATTACAAATAACAGTAAATTAACAAAGGACAATGAGAGTGATTGTAGAAGAATAAAGAAAACTACGATAAGACCAGATGCAAAAGTAATAGGAGGAAGGAGGAATTAAAACAGAAAACAAGAAAAAGAAGAACCCTTCCATTCAAATGATTTTAAAGGTCCAGTGTTGGTAATTAAATGAACCACGCATACATATGACTAGCATGATGTTGCTTAAACAATTTTCGTTCTAGAGACTCAAGTGGTTTAAGAAAAAAAAATTACAACTCTTGGGGATATATTATATAATTTTGAGGGTTTTTGGGATCATCCAAGACCCAACTGAAATCTCAAGGACTTTACTAGATGATTGGAAATACCTGGGAGCAGACACTATGTAACGTTACTCATGAATTTGTTTCCACGGGGAGACAGGAAAATACATTCTCACAGGTAACTAGCCTGTAGTGTGGGACTCCAACGGGGTGAAGAGTGAAGACCCAAAGACTATCCAATAAAAACCGCCTTTACTCTTTGGACAACTCCAAGCCTGAAAACACTAGTATCACTTCATCAGAACTAAGGCGAGTTTGCCTACGCCCAAAGAGCTAAGTCCGTCTCTAGCCGTTAATTTCATACTTGACAAATGTCTTACTCATGATTGCTGATATTAGGTGTTCCAATGGTTAAACAAAAACTCATAAACCACACTAAAAAAGTTGGCTTAAATATCAATGAAGACAAAACCAAGATAATGGAATGTGGAAGAACTAACCAATTAAATAGTAAAAATCATGTAGAAATAGAAGGACACAAATTTATAAAGTAAACAATTTTTCTTACCTAGGAGTAATGCTGACGAATAATAATGCAGAAGACTCTGAAATTCAGCAAAGATTAAATGCAGCACATAAAAGTTTATCGGCATGCCACTAATTGTTGAGTTCTCGCCTACTCTCACAGAAAACTAAAATCCGTATATACAAAACTATAAGACCAGTATTACTATATGGCTCAGAGAATTGGGTGATAAGCAAGAGAACCGAGAAACGACTTATAGTGTTCTAAAACAAGATTCGGAAAATCTTTGGACCAACCTTTGAAAATGGAGAATGGAGAGTTAAGCACAACAGGGAGTTGAGACAGTTGTACAGGGACCCAGATATTGTGGCTGAGGTGAGAAGTAGGAGATTGAGATGGGCAGGCCATGTGTTAAGAAAGGAAGAGGGCTTAGTGAGAAACACCCTAAACAACAACCCCAAGGGTAGAAGACCTCCTGGAAGGCCCAAGTTGAGGTGGAGAGATCAAGTGAGAAGAGGCTTGAGAAGAATAGGAAGAAGGGAGGATGAAGCAGTGGATCGTGCAATCTGGAGGCAGTGTGTTGGCGAGGCAAAGTACCTCCTTGGGTACCAAGAGCCACAGCAGTAAGTAAGTAATGGTTGAACAAGTTGCTCTATCCATAAGATAAGACACTATTTTTACCTTCATGAGTTTGGTCGGAGCAGTTATCGTGTCTTCATCCTGCACGCAGTAGTCTCTCGTGAACCTGGACGCGCCCAGACCTGTTATCACCCTGAGCGTGATGAGTTGTTGTAGGGCTTCTAGAAGATTCTTGAGTCTATCAGGACAATGTCGTGCCCAGATCCTGGCTAGCCTGGCCTACAACACATCATCTGGTGAACAACTATCCAAGATGAATGTACAAGAACCTTAACTAAGTTAATTAAGTTGCCTGATAAAAGTTACTCCAACTGCTTAATTGGTGTTAATTGAATGAACGAAGTGAATTCTCATACTGGTGTAAAATGCATCTCATGTAAATCCAAAAACTCGAGAATGACTACGTATATGAAGTTGATGTTTTGCACAAAGGTTCTTTATCATATTATCTTGGTTAAGTTCGTTATTGGAGATTATTTGTTCAGTAATAATTATAAAATCCTAAAAAAACCATTTTAATTTCCCCCCATAAGAATAACATTAGGAGCTACCTTCTTCTTCTTTTTTTTTGTTTACATTTTACGACCAACAACTTTTTGTGAATTCTAGAGACCAAAGAGACCGAAGTGAATTCTATTATTTCTTTCATCCATGGAGTAGACAGTGTAGGTATATTATATTAGCCAATGGTTTTATATGCATAATAAATCTTTAAATTATAATTATTAAAAAAATATTCATCTGAGGAAATAAAAATGGGATTTAAAAATATCCACTCAAATGTATTATAATCGATAACAATATTTTAGGTATTTACATGTTTTAACTTTTTACATGTGTTTATGTTGTTTGTTTAGCAGGCTTGAATTAAGACCTTAGTCCTTGGGCCGAACTTCATCACTTGGGTCGCATGATGGATTTCTAAAAATAAGTGGTGTTAACATTGTCTTGAGCTTTTTATATTATTAATTTTCAATATTATTGTTATAGCATACTATTAAATGCCTATGCCAATCAGATTTTTCTTAAAGAGACATTTTTTCTAACCATATAACATAGTGTCTTTTTCTTATCGTCGTCACGTCGTCGTCGGTTCGGTTGTGTTGTGACGTAATTTTCCTGGCGGACGACAAGAGGGAAATTACGCCACCGGTAAGAAAACGAGATCCCAGGATTCGCCCTAGTCTGGTCGCGGGGAGTTTCCCAGGAGTCGATAGTGATTCGGATAGCCTAACTTTGATAGCCCCGGTTGTCAGAGCTCGAGACGAACGTGGCGGGTTACTAAACACCCTACTCGAAATCACCACTCTAGCCTAGGGCTTGTGGGGAAATAAATAATTTTGACTTGACTCTGTGGGCAAATATCTAAATGACACACTACTAGCTAACTTAACAAATCAACAAGTAAGCTAAGTAGTCACTCCGCTTACCTACGGAGTTACGTCGTCAACCTGAAACAAACAAGGTTAGTACAAGATAGGCCTAACCTAGCCTAACTCCCACAGAGTCTGAATTTACTAAAATGATAAGAAAACAAGTTAGCCTAAGTGGTCCAGGTGAGGAACGAACAAAAAAACGAAACTAAAAAGGTGAAACTGCTCCTTGAGCCAAAAACGAAAAACTAAAACTTTAACTTCCTCACGTGTTCAACTTAGACCAACTTCGACAGAACTTGTCCAGCAGAAACCTGTCTGCTGGAACAGACTTTGGTACGTTTGGGGAACTTTAAAAAAAGGGTTTTAAGAATTAAAAAAGAAAGTCCCAAGACGGATTATGAAACGTAATTGAAAATATATTTCACCAACTGCAGTACTTTACTCAAATTGTTGGTTAAGGCGTATGACTAGGTCTGCGAATCAGGCCTAGCCTTCAAGTTCAACCAAGTTTCGTACACGAAAACTGGTCAAGTAATATACAATAATCTGTAAGTTAGTTACAAAACTTACCCGATGACGAAATTATATCAAAATATTCACTACGAAACAATACATACGAACTTAAGCTTTCAGAGCTTGCGATACGAACTTTAACTTGCACGAATTTTCGAGAACGACCCAAAAGCGAAACAAACTTACGAAAAGCCGGGATTACGAATGACAATTCACAATTCTCCTCCACAATCCTTCTTCTTCCCTCACCTTCGTCTCAGAATTGAGACGAAAGTTAAAACGATTCCTGATTGGTCCACGAGTTACAGAAACAAAAAAAAAACTGGTAGCGAAGGCAGGCGCATGGCAGCTTTAACAGGCTTACAGCCGCGTACCGCTCAAAAGTGACTCCGCTGCTCATCTTCTCTCCCGTAGCCCGGCCTCAGACGCAGTCGAACAGCCAAACAACCAAACTGACACCAACGTCGTCTGCGGTCTTGGGATTTGAGGTTAGGTGCGATGTCAGTTTAGCGTCGCGACTAGGGCACAACAACAGCTTACATTCAGCTGTTTAAGTTTCGTGGTTTAGCCGTTATTTTACCCCCTTCACATTTGACCCGTTACAGTGTTTTCTTTTGTTTGTTGTGTTTTCTCTGTTGGTTCTTGGCTAGGTGTTGTAATATAAAATAGTGGAAGATTTTTGGGGTACAGTTTCTTAACTGGGCTACGCTATTATTGATTGAAACTACCTATCGATTCGATTAGTAAACCTTCTTGCGATTTTGTTCACCCATGTCAATGGAAAACACTAGATCTAGGCTGGCATGGCCATTGATTGGTTAGACTAAGCAAGGAAGTAACTTTAATTAATCACTGTGTCTGGTTAGGCCTATGTGTTTAAAATATCAATCGTCATTGTTGAGATATGATCTTTCAAGTGTTATTTTGAAACTAGGCCTATATAACTTAACGTTATCCGGCAGGGCCTAGGCCTAATTATAAGCTAAGTAAACTTAGATACACTAACAAATTAGGCCTAAAAGTTATCAAGTGTAACTGACAGAGTGTTCCCTATCAAGTTAGAGCCTGCAATCAAAGGTAATAGCCTACCTTGGCCTTTTCTACAGTGTTATTTAATTTAAGTTAAGTAAAAGGACCTAGGCCTAAGTTAATAGATACATTTCTTATAAACTTAAACTTGGAGAAGTAAGCCTATCTGTGGCCTTAAGCCTGGTTTTTCTAGGCGCGGAGTGTGGAAAAGCGATTAGCAACGCTTAATAATTACCTAACAACGATGCACTTCTAGGTAAACAGTTAAGTTAACATTAACTTAAACTTAAATGACTGTAAGAGGCCTACCTTAGGCAAGAGGAGTCTATATATAAGGTTACATTTCTTTACCTTGATCGCCAAGTGATCCATGTACCGTAAGTCCAAAAACAGGATTACGCACGTTTCGACATCGTCACAACACGACAAGCGTCATTGTAAAATCGTACAAAAACTTTCTAAACCATATGGTCACAGTCTTTCCGACACACACAATAAACACATTAGCCTAGGTACCGGTAGGCCTACCAAAATACACTTAAAAGTAACTTAGGCCTACTAACTTAACTAATTTGTGGTAAGGCGACAGATCTGTGGAAGCCTCAGCTTGCGAGCAGATCTGTCGTATTAGGCTACCACAAATTAGTTAGTAACTTAGGCCTACTTTTAAATGTATTTTTGTTGCTCGGCAGTCGAGCCTCGGCATGCGAGCTTAGTTAGAAGCCTACTTTTAAATGTATTTTTGTACCGGTAATGTGATTTTTTTGTGTGTCGGAAAGACTGTGACGTGACCATATGGTTTAGAAAGTTTTTATACGATTTGACAATGACACTTTGACGTCGAAATGCGCGTAATCCTATTTTTGGACTAACATGGATCACTTGGCGATCAAGGTAATGTTTCTAAATTTTAACATCAGTGATTCAGAAAACAACATACAACATGAAGAGGAGTCTATGTATTGCACTCCGTTTCTGTGCCTAACTTAGGAAACTCCGGCTTATCAGTTTGCAGTAAAGTTTCCATAATTACTGTTCTAAAGCCTAAGTTAGGCTTGAAGCATTCATAGCTCAATCAGAATCTATAAATTGATTTAGTGACAGATTGTTCTAAAAGTCAGTTAGGCCCTAACCTCAGAATTTCTCATTTAGTAGGCCTAGGCATGGGTGCAGTGCCGGTAAAACCTGCAATATTTTATCAAATTAATAATATATCGATTATGGTTCGGTTCGATGAATTTTAATAACTTAACTTAAACCACAGAAAATATACTACTATAACCCAGAATGCCAACCACATGGTAAAAAGCGTTAAGTACTTTGAGAGAGCTTTGCCTGTCAGTTCGTAGGCAGCGCCACCAGCGTTGCAATGCACTCAGCATAGCAACGCTGGTGGCGCTGCCTACGAATTGACAGGCAAAGCTCTCTCAAAGTACTTGACGCTTTTTACCATGCGGTTGGCATTCTGGGTTATAGTAGTAGGCTATATTTTCTGTGCTTAAACTTACTTAGGCCTACTTAGGTCTAACCTATAACAATAACAAGCAAAAATGATCCAATTTTGATGAAATTTGGTGTAAACGTGTCAACCTAAATTTATTCTAATGGGTTCGCAAACCAGCACGATCAGATTATGGGAACTATGGGGTTTTTATACTTAAGGTAAAAATAAGTTTTTCCCCTATTTAACCTTACAAACACAAAATTTTAAAACTTCTTTCAAAAACTATTTTGTTGAGCTTAAAAAAACAAATAGGCTACGGTAATTTCTTAATGAAGCGTTATTATTCGCCTAATGGTTACCGTGCACGGAGAAAATTCCAAAAAATTGTAAATTTAAAATTTCTATATTATTCTTACGGAGAATAAACAATCAGGCAAATGGAAATTCGCTTAGTCTGCAGGTTGGTTTGCTGCGGGGGAGGTATTATTTTAAATTTGAGCGACCAAAAACGGAAGAAATTAGACTAAAAACGGAAGAAATTAAAAATTTTCTAACTGTATGCGGTAATTGACTTAAGTTAGCCTATAAGGTTTAAGTTGGATTATGATAGTTATTGTTTATTTTGTTTTTAACTTTCATAAAATAAATTTTGATTTTGGTTGAGTTTAAAAAAATCAATACCTAATAACTCAATTCCTCTTTAAACAACAAAAATATATATTGTAGAAACAATAGCTTTATCGAACCGAACCAAAATCGATATAGGCCCTCTGTATTGATATTTAAATCGATAATATATTGCAGGTTCTCTGCGGAACTGTTCTCCTAGGCATACAAGTAGTTTTGAAATTGTTTTG